TATGCATATGTAAAAACTAAATCCAAGTAAAGTAAAAATCCAAGTAAAGCGATAAATCCAAGTAAAGTGATACGTGGCGTCCAAAAATAGAGCATAAATGTCAATTACAGGGGGGGTGGGGGGGCTGAATCACTTGAGGGATGCATTATAGAGCTTGATGACCACAAGTAGGAATGACATTAATCAAACATTAATAAACCATCTGTTAATCATTAATAAATGGTGTGTTTACCATTGTATGATTATTATAAAGTGTAACCCCTGTTTCGGTCTTTAGGTTTTGGGTAAAATCTTTTTTTTTTAAGTAAACAACTTCAAGTCATTGCTGTTAAAGTCCAAGTCGTCACAATTCTCTGAGGATCATTTCAATTCAAGTCTAAAGTCAGAAAATTAATGACTCAAGTCAAAGTCATGTGAACTGAATACCCACCTCTGCTGAATACAAACGCATAGATTTAATAACCATGCTTATTTCCTATAGATTTACACTTGTGAGCCGTATTTATTGGTCTAACACACTAACTCACCATAAAACACATCCATTTTTATTCTAAATCAACAGAATGCAAAGCAGATGAAGATAGTGGGAATACTTTTCTAAATCCCTTTGTGCTGTCCGTCAGCTGGTTCACTCCTGCTAAAGGTTTGCTTTGCAACATGTTTGGGAAAAATAGAAAATCTGTAAGCAAATTACTCATCCTCAAAGAGCTCTTCTGAGTGCTCCTTGACCGTTTCTGACTGCTGCTTCCAATTTACAGATTTCTCTGTATTTTTCAGCCCATGAAATTTGAGCGCGGATGAAAATACTGTCGTTGAGAACAAACTTGGGTGTGCATACAGACTCACAAACAAAATCGCACTTCCAGGCAGTATACCCATCTCAACAACCCAGAGAGATTGGAAAGGGTGCTGGTGGGCTTTGGAGTGTTACTAGGTCTTCTTTCATGTTCGATATTGTGCATAAATTATTCAGCCTCTCCCCCAACCTCTATGTGGCAGCGGTGGGGTGTCTGTGGGATGGATTGGCCTGTCTGAGGCTGAGGTTAGACCAGCACTTTTAATCATTGGACGGTCCAAATATAGCCCGACGGCCTGACTGCGTGGCCGCTAAGAGTCAGGTGGACGAGAGTGAGAGTGGAAAGAGGCAGAGAGAGGGACAGAAACTGATAGCAGAGAGAAAAAATGGAAACAGATGGATGCAAACGAGCAGGTAACACAGATCTATTGGAAAAAACACAAAAATGGACGGCGTAAGGAGAGATGTGGAAAACAGAGAGCATGCAGAAATGAGCCTCTCTGCTGCGAAACGGAGCTTGTGTTTCACTAAAGGAGTATTAAGATGATGAAGAAGGGAGACTCCATTGTGGTTGCATAGAAAATGAATTGTGTCGATACTAATTCTATTGATGTAGATGGTGTCTGTGTGAATCGATCCTTGAGGGGCTCGCTGCGCATTTGGCAGGCACAATTCTCTCTTTAGCGCGGTTGGCTAATGGGAAGAGTCAGTCAACTGGCATGATGTGATTTTAGAGAAAATGTTGTCACCTTGGGCCCAGTTTGTCTCAATCAAATTAGCCAAGAGAGTCTAGGAATCATCTCATAAAAAGCTATCAAGTGCTGCAGTTGAAACTGGATATTTTCCCTCTCTCTCTCTTCCTCGTTAATATTCAGAACTTTATCATAACAAAGCCAGGAAATGCAAGGTGTCGCCTCTTCTCTGTGTTTTTTTTTTTTCTGTTGTTGTTCCCCACCATGTGGTAAATTAAAGAACCAATTAATTCTTGTGATGCTTGCAGGTTGTTTTTAACACTTTTACAGACATCAGTACAGATAAATTGGCGAGTTGTTTTCAGCTTTCTCATCGAATCTCGAAAGAAAAACATGGAAGAAAATTCAAAAAAACACCAATAATCCATTAATCACTGCAACTCCACATTACTTTATTCCTCCACTATCTGTCCTTGCCAGGAATCCATTCGGGTCTCCTTTCATGTCAATGGAGGATCTTTATCATGCATTATTAAGCAAACCGATGGTATTCTATAGGACGTGTGCTTTTGTATGAGAAGAATGTGGCTTTATTTTTCCGTGTAGTAAGTGTCCCTGTGGTGAAAAAAGGCAATCTAAAGCAAGAACAAAGTATATGCTTTTCCTCTGATCCGAACTGCTGCCTAGAACTTTATGTAACATTACCCTGAAGACCTTCGGCTTAGATGTCACACCACAGGAACAATGTAGTTTGGGTCCTTGCTGCTGCGCCACTTTACTAACAAGCCCTCTGCAAACACACTCCTACACATACATCAGGCAATGAGCCGAACACATTACCCTTCCCTCCTACATAAATTGGGTGCTTGACCTTCCGTCCACATCTTGTGTTCCTTTCTTCTGTCCTCCAGGACGTCCTGCTGATGGGGGAGGAGTTGGTGTCAGAGCCTTATTACTGCCAGCTCGAGGCCGAGACGTGCCGCCTGTTCACCGAGCAGCTGGGCACCTTCGCCCTGGTGGGAGAGTCACTGCACATGGGCGCAGCCAAACGCCTGAGGCTGGTCCTTTTCTCCGACGCCTACTGCTCCACGCTGGAGTACAACATCAGGGTGTACTGCATGGACGACACTCAAGACGTCTTTAAGGTCAGTTAATGTACCAACCTGAGTGTTTTGATGTGTGATTATGTTTCTGCAGAAAAAGGGAGTTTAGTTTAAGACTTTTAGCACATTTTGCCTGAATGAATTTCCCTAATGGTAGATTAAGATAAGAACATGTGGTGTTAGATGAGTTTATTTGTTTCTTTCAGTGATGCCCTTTACTCTGCCCAGTTGCTGCAAGCCAATAAGTTCCTCTGCACTTTGTGCACTGACATATTTTACTGCACTTTTTCCCTCTCCACATGGACAGAGTATAATCAAGCGCTAATGCCTTTGCTCCCTCCCTCGAGGACTGCCTCTGAGTAGCCTGTTAAGATTTCATTTGCATGGTTAATTAGTAAATTAAAAGGAGAGTCTGTCCCAATCTTTTCCCACCAACCCCCAGTGCTCCCTTTAGTCTCTCTACATACCTCTCAGTCGCTCTCAAAAGCTGCTCCTCTCTCCTCCACTGTCACCACCCACAGCCACAAGTGGCTCTTCCACTAGAATCCACTTGGGCTGGCTGTAATGGCTGACCCGCTCGCACAAAGGTAGGGCACACCATCGCGGTCTGTGGATGGCTGCAGGACATAAACAGTGGAAGTTACTCAGAGTTCACGCTGAAATTAGCGCCGAAAGCCAGAAATTGATGATAAACTGAAAGCTGCAAACGCCTCTGCTGTAACACAGCACCATGTGAAAGTATAGATACCAATTTTGTAAGCTTATAACCTAAAAGTTCAATGTATTTTAAGGGATTATATGGGATAAACCGACAGGAAAAGAGGATACATGCTTTTTAAGGTTTTTAGCAAATGAAAAAGAGAAAGGTGGGGGATGCGTTTGACTTTAGCCCGTCTGATTTATTAGTTTTAGAACCACCTTTTTCCACAACAAGAGCTGAAAATCTCTCAGGGTTTGTCTCTACTATCTTTGTACATTCAGATTAAGGAGGTTTTACACAAGTCTTCGAAAAAACAGTCAAATTCAGGAGAGCTGCTCTATATTAGAGCAACTCCTGATGGTGGTTGTCATGGTAAATATTGCAGTATTATGTGCCAGTTTCTTCTTCTCTATCTAATTTGTACTTTACTTAATTGCATTTGGGGTCAAATAATTTATATGCAGTTTAAACATATGGTAAATGCTCTGTACTTATATAGCGCTTTTTCAAGTCAGAGGACTTGAACAAAGCACTTTACACTACATTCAGTCATTCACACACTGATGGTGGCACACTACATTATAGCCACAGCTGCACTGGGGCTCACTGACAGAAGCAAGGCTGCCATACACCGGTACCACCATCAGTAGGCAATGCATGTGAAGTGTCTTGCCCAAGGACACAACAGCACTGAAAGAAGGAGCCAAGGCTTTAATCGACAACCCTCCGGTTGCCGGGCAAACTCCTACACCCGACCCCACTGTCGTCCAACATAGCTTATGCTGTAAGGCTCCATCCAACTAGCTATATAGTACATATTAGCATGTAAATATCAGGATAATTGAACTTGAAAGATCTTATTTAGTAATCGTAATACTTGAAACAGTTCTTTGCGATACGAATATTGCACATACTGATATTGCTTTGACATATATTTCCTATAAACTCTGCAGCCTTAATATTTGATTTTGATGTGTATCTTTTATGCTAACGTCTCTATAGTAGCTAAGGCTCTGTGGTCTGGGTCAGTCTCTTCCATGTTTGGCCTGTATATAGATACATGCATGTTTTGAGTAAATCTGAGCAGCCTCCCTGTCCCACAGCATTATTCTTGCACCACCGAGTTTCACAAAGGGCATGTAGTGCTTATGTTGAGTTGTTTTGTGCCATGTAAGCCAGAAGTTAATTTCACTAAAACCTAATAAAAGAACTTACACATTGGTATGTTCCCTACATGACTTGGAGCAAACAAGCTATCATTTGTGCACTGCAAAAACTGATCTAAAAATAAATTTTAAAAATCCAAATGAGTGCATTTTGCTTTAATTGAGGTTAATAAAGAGGCTGATTTGCTAAAGGAATCAGTATTTTTGTCCTTAAAACAAGAATAGTAGATATTTTGCTGCAGAAATAGTATAATGGATTGTTCTTTTCTTAACTTTAAACGTAAATGATCTTATTCCATTGGCAAATTGTTTAATTGCCTGCTCAAATCAAGGGAAATACACCTAGTTTACGAATACTTTTCTTATTTTTCAAATTTGCGGTGTGGTGTTTGCAGATTTTCCAGCCTGTGCTGTAGATCCCTGCACCTCCTCCAGAATAACCATGAACCTCTTGACTGCTTCTGAATAGAGCTCTCCTTACCTACTCAGGCTTTTAAAGATATGGCCTCGGTCCTGGTAGATTTAAATGATGAACTAGGCAGTGGTAATTAGCATGTTTTGAGTTTGAAATAATGTTTTATGCCCTGTACAATTCTCCACAACTTTATCCCTGACCACTCTGTTGTGCAGCTTGTCCTTTAAGATGCTGTTTATTCATAAATGTCCTCAATCAGACCTCTAAACCCCTCACAGAACAGCTGGATTTATGCTAAGAATTTATTTAATTGAGATGACTTAGAAGGAAGTTTGTTGTATCAGTTGTTTTATTTAAGGGGGTCATAGTAAAGGGGGGGTGGAGGTAACAGTTCAGGTTTTCCTTTTCACAAATCTCTCCAATCTAAGTTGGCTTCTATTTTATTTCAGAGTGCAATTGAAGAATTTTTTTACTGATTTTGAGGGTTCTTCATGGACAGGTACCAGGCTGTATCATTAGTTTCTCCACCCGTACTGTAGGTCCCCCGGTGCTGCTGATGGGGCCCCATCCTAAGATAAACACAAAAGGAGAGGGTTCTGTTCGAAGGTCCCCAGACTCTGCAACTAGGTGGAATCTTTTTAAAAGACAGTTAAAAAGATTCTTTTTACTATCAGTTTCTCTTGTTTTTTTTATGCATTGTTGACTCTTTTGGGGCACTTTTTTATTTCATATCTTAAAGGTGGAATAATAGATACGATTTTAATTACTGATTTGTAAAATCTTTTGAAAAACATGTTTTTTTTGTGTGTGTGCTGATCTACCACGTAAAGTTCCTTTTAAACACACGAAACCAGGGCTGTGTAATGATCTCAGAATGTTGGACCCAGAATTAAAGGCAAGACAGGCAGTGGGAAAGTTCAAAACGTTTAATATAAACTAACAGGAGCGCGGGACTGCTCGTCTGCTGCGGGACGGATCTCTGCAGAGATGGGAGAATACAGGTCAGTGATCGGATGTGGAGCTGAATTCGACTTGGAGCTAAGTCACTGACCTGATTCAAAGTTCAGTCCGTTTGCAAAGAACACAGCAGAATCCAGGAGGGAGGTTTGACCGCAGTTGTCCCCCAGAGTTCCTCTCCAAAACACTCAAACAACCTGGCGCTGATGGGAGGCAAACACACAACATGAATAGTAGAGGAACCAGGTGGAAATGATCGGCGATAATCAGCCGCAGAACCAATTGGACAGCTGAGCAAGAAGCAAAGGAAAAAACCAAACCATCAGCGCAGAGATCATGACACTGTCCCGTCCAGCAGCCCACCTCCTGCTTGTTTTGGGTTGTTTCTCCAGCACCTCTAAATGAAATAAATGATTGAAATCTTCAGTATATCCTAAAGGTCTTCCCATTAATTAAACACTTCTTAAGTTTAGTCATGTAAGGCTGGAGGAAAAAAAGAAAACAGCATATTTTTGTGTTTCAGTTTACATATTCTTTACTTGTCGTCATGTACCTTTGAAATTAATTTGCAGCCCTTCAAGTTATTCTCATGCAAAATTTTAAATGTGTTCAATTTAAAACAAAAAGAAAACAAACAAAAAACATCTATATATTGATAGATATGAAGGCATACACTCACTGGCAATCAGATCCTCAGTTAACATACTGGCACTTTGATCCAGCAGTACTGCTGCAGTGACCTTGTATTTTGCATTGGCTGCAGGAAGGCTTTCAGAGAGCAGAAAACCTCTCTTTCTCACCACCCTTTCCTCTAGTTAGCTCTCATTCTGCCTCTTTTAGCCAGGAAAAGGACATCTGAGCTTGTTGACTGCAGCACCCGCGCTCCCCGTATTCTGCGTCTCCCTCGACGCCCTTGAGTGCATTAGCTCCCCGTCTCTAACACAACCTGGTTCTGTGGTAAGCCACGGCATCTCCGGGGCTTTGTAGTTTTTAGTGAGTGATTTAAAACATGGCCCTCACTGTTTAGTAATCTGGACACCACGCTGCTCTTGGTGCTATTACAAAGGCAGCAGCTCATTTGGCGAGTACATTCACTACTTTGAGTGGAGATTAAACTTCCCTGGAGAGGCTAGGCCTAATCACTAATCACTATCTTTAAAATGCACCTTTTATGATTAGTCGCTCACTCTGGCTGCTATTAGAGTTTAGGGTAGCAGGCTGCAGTAGGTGGCACAGTGGACTACCTGCATGTACTAATCTATAGTACACCTTAACTTCAGGTGCAATTTCTGACAGAGCTTCTGCACTTTTTTTTAAGGAAGTTTCCTAGAAATAAGCATTTCTGTACTTCTGAAAGGAGATGAAAAAAACTGTTCTGGAAGCTGAGCTTCTCCCTGTCAGTCTGCTCTGACAAGCCTCCATCAGGGAGCATGACAGACACACGCGCACACGCATGCAACACTTAAGCCTGCCTTACTCTTATCTCGCTATTACAGCAGATTAGAAGCAGTGGTATTGTCTTTGATCCTAAGTGTACGGGAGCTCTGGGGAAATTGTGACATTTCCGTCTGATGCTTGCCATATGTTAGCAGGGCTCTGCGGGGACCAATTAAGTTAATATTTAATGTGTCTCCCACACTTGATGGACCCAGCCAAGGCTGGCACAGCAGCAGAGGCGACATGGCCGGCATTTGGTTGCGCCCTCACTGTGCACTCGGGTTGTTCCCAGCTAGACCGGTGGGAGAGCATCACTGATGTTTTGCCATGTTGCAACTGACAGAAAGCACCTGCAGGGAACCGAGCCTTCAACCCAACACAGAGGCAGCTATCAGCAACGTCTAATTAACTGGAAAGGTGCAAACAAAGGTGTCTCTTCAGGAAGCGAACATTTACCTGAAATACTCTGAATTTCACACACAGACTTGAGTATAAAGGATAAAAAAAATGTTTTTTCTTTTTTTATATTCAAAGAAAAAAGTCAATTTTTGAACAACGAAAAAACAAAACAAAAAACACACTCTTTTGGTTTTTCGATAACTTAACGTTATTCCCATCCTCCCACATGTCTTTGTTTTGGAAGTCGAGTGTTTTTATGCTTTAAAACAAAATTCCAAAAGATGTAGAAAGATTTATAAACCTCCCACGTTCCACCAACAAGAAGTCTGTTTGGACTTTAAGGTATGATCCTAAGCTTCTGATAAAACTACTTTTTGTATTTTCAGAGTCTTGTGGCTTTATTCTCACAAACGTTCAAGATGCAGGTCTGCTTTTGGAAGAATCTTTAGGATTTTTTCTATCCTTACATGCCGACACAGTTGAGATTTTACAGAACTTTGCTTTTAGATAAATTGTCACATCTGGTTCAGCTCTAATCAATTTGCTCAGGATCCATTGTTTTATTATTACTCTATTTTATTTAATTTCAGGATTCCATACTTAGCTTTTTGATTTGGTTGTTTTGTTTTCCTTTGTGTCATCTTAGAATATGCACATTTTAACTATCATTAAATCTATATTCCAAATCATCCTAAGAAAAAAAAATTTTTGTCAAGATGCCTCTTAACTACAATCAGACATTTTCAATGTGATTGCAGCCAGCTCACCTGTTGGATCACCTGTCCTGGTGGTCCAGGCTTGCTGTATCAGCAGAAAAGGTCCTTGCATGTTTCAAATTCAAGAAGAGTAAAAGAAAAAAAGCAAGATATAATTGATTGAATGAATGATTCAGATGATACACAATGGTTCCTGTTTAGTCTATTTTAGTTTAGAGTTGTTTGCTTCACACTGTCAGAGATGCTAGTGAGAAAAGGTGAAAGGCAGGAATACCTGATGGCAACTTTATTCCTTATTACTGCCACTAAATGGACTAATGTTGTTGTGCAATGGTGTAGTTTTTTTTTTCTTTATTTTGTTTGTTGTGTTTTTTACATACATCATTATCATTATTTTAAATAATTTTCTGCTGCCTAATAGATCAATACAAATAAAAAAAATAAAAAAATGACCTTGGCTTTTTTTTCTGTAGCTATAAAAAAAAACGAAATTGCAGGTAGTTAAAGGTATAGTGGAGGCTGTTCTTTTTCCGGATGGATCATCAAAATAAGTGGTCCTCCTAACTGTCAATCATTCTGGTGATACGTTTACGTGACGCCGTCCTACATGCTTGTCCCTATTTTCACTTAGTGCTGGTGAGTCTGACAGTGGAGAAACTGCAAATCATCTCTTGGAAAGTAAGCTTGTATGAGCGATGCAAACAGCAACTTTTAAACAGAGCATGCACCAGGAGAAATGGGCTCCTGCAGGCATCTAATAGACGTTCCCTCTCGGGAGCTAGTACAGGATTGTGGGTGTAATTTCTTTAAAAGAGTAGAGAGGGAAGGTCTTTTCAAAAATTCACGAACGTCCTCCACTATACCTTTCAATTCTTAGACCTAATGAGAAGCGATCGTCTTAGTGGTTGTAGATAAGAGTCTTAAGAACTTCAGTTTGCAGATCCATTGAGTCATTTCCAATGGATCCGACCCTCTCAAGTTAAGTGTTGGCCTATTGGTTAGAGCAGTGCAGTTGTGCTCTGAGAAGGTTGCAAGTACCCAGTTTGATCCCTGCAGCCTGCACTCTGGTAGCCTAGTGAGACCATCCTGATCTCGCGAGCTTTCAAGGTTTCACTCGCTAATCAGTCTGGAGACTCTCCGTTGAAGAAAATTTGGAGCCGTTCACCAAACGAACGTCCAATCAGCGTTGGCTTTGAGGCGGGTTGAGGTGTGACGCAACGAGAAGCGCGACAGTTCAGTCTAAAGAACATGGCGGCTTCAGCCGATGAAACTAGCGTTAGCGTGGCTATCGAGCAAGTTTTATCGGAATTACAGAGTATTTCTTCACTGAAAGGAGAGCAAAACACTGCTCTGGAGGCTTTTCTCAGAGGAAAAGATGTTTTTGCTCTTCTCCCGACTGGTTTCGGTAAGAGTTTGATCTATCAATTGGCTCCTCTTCGTCGTCGCTCTGTTACGTCATATACTTCGTTGATCTGATTGGTTTATTTGGCCCGTCTATCACCAACATAGGCCAATCAGCTAACCAGTATTTTCGCCCCTTCGAAAAATTACTTCAACGGAAGGTTCCCAGATGGATATGCGGAGCAAATCCATCTGGCGGAGTCAGGTTAGCACTCTGGGCCCCTGAGCAAAAACCATTAACCCCACACTGCTCCCCGGGTGCCACACAATGGCAGCCTACTGCTCCCCAAGGGGATGGGTAAAATGCAGAGAGTGAATTTCCCCATTGTCTGAAATTAAAGCGATTTACATTTACATAGGTATTTTCTTTAGAAAAGCAGCACTGATACACACCAAGTGCTAAATTAGACCTGAAAATCCCTTGAATATATTCCAAATGAATCAAATACTTGGGTCAAAAGTTACGCAGTGGTGCTTTAGTGAAATGATGTGATTTGATGATGGTGTTTGCTGGAAAATTCTTTGAGCAAAGCTTTTGAAAGGACATGATCTTGTATTTTAAGGCCGTCCCTATTTGCCTTTATTTTCCAGTTAGATTGGACTCCAAAGGCTGCTGCAGAGCAAGCCTCTGTCCTCATAACTCTTGCTGTGCATTTCCTTTCTTTGTTTTCAAACTAAGCAAGCTGAGGTTTCTTGCGTTATTAGTGTTTCTCTGTCTTAATAATTGCCTTGACAGTCTTACAGTTGTTTACTAAAACTGGGACTTCTACACTGACTCCTATAAATAAATCTTCAATTTTCCTTTTAACTGCTGTGTGCTGCAACTCTATCTAGATAGAGGAACAAAAGCTTTAAACATGTTTTAGCATTTGACTCTGAGTCTAACTAAGATTTCTGAAATGTTTGAGCTCAAGATTTTACTTCTCAGTATCCCTGCAATGCTGTTAAAATGAATATAAATGAGTGTTTAACTGGACGCCGGGTTTGTTAAATAGTAGCTGAAAGATCCTTCCGTCCATTGTACGACCTCAGGAGATAATTCTGATTTTCATTTTAACAGGCTTGTAAACAGTTTATGTGCTCCCACTATGGCTTTGCTTTGCTACCTCTAGAGCTGCCAACTACATCTGAGCATAAACCTTTAGCTTTCATGTGTCAGAGTCAGGAAAGGAAGCATGTGAGAGTGTAATACAAACAGTTTTTTTGATCCTCCCATCAGAAATGTTCTGGGGGGGAAAAGTCTCACGAAATATACATAGATATAGGTATATAAATATAAAAGCAGATGAGCATATCCAAGTAATTGGTTGCATCAAGTTAAACAAGGCAGTGAGCTTTATCACTGAGCCAAGCTGAGAAATTGTTTGTACATTATATTTCTGTACTCCTGTGCGTGCTGCTGTTCTCTTTCATCCTCCCCTGTGATTTATCAGGCAGAAATGTGCATCTTTTCCCAAGCAAATACAGTCCCCATTTATTTCTGGGCAGACAAGTTCCTTCTATTTGTAGTTATTAATCAGAGTTGACTGTAGCGGGCACGGCCACTGGAGCTCAGACTGATAGACTCTCAGTCAGAGAGGAAAAGCCTGTCACATCCTGCTGACAAATACACAGATTTATGGAGCCCACATAGCCTGCCTACTCTCTATAAACAAATACATTTGCCTGAAAAGAGCTACTCTGGAAATGGATCGGCCTTGTGAAGGCACATTTTTGGACATGAGGGCACAGTGTTGCTATTAGTAGAGGGTTGGGTGTGAATTTATAAGGGTATTACAGCCTCTATGTTTCAGACAGCATGTAGCTTGACTAATTAACTGATCAAACGCAGCTTGTAATCCCCATCAGAGCTGGTTAAGTTAATCAGTTTATTATACACAAAGCCAGAACAAGAGAAGACCACATCCAAGAGCTTGACCTTCCTATCACAGAACTCTGCAGTTTTGTGCAAGTCCGGCTTTTAAATGATAGGGCTTTGGTTATACTTTTGATTTGTTTAGCTTGAGTTATTTAGCTTTCCTGACAGCTGTGTGATTTTTTTTTTTTTATTCATTGCAAGAGAGAGTTTGGTGCAGCCACTAACCTCTTTCTGTCAGCACCAGGCTGAGGAGATTAGCTGTACGAGTGTCTCTTGTTTCCCAGTGGAGCCCGGCCCAAGTCCATCACAGCTCCAGCTCCGGTTTGTGCCAGTAGGACAGGGGGTGGGGGGTGGGGAAGGAAATGAAAGGGGGTTGAAGTCATAGAAAACTTTGGCCATGATTGCAGTAATCCTGTTATCTCTCCTGCTAAAGCTGGCCACTTTAGTGACCTGGAGACACGAATGTTAAGCTCCCTCTGTCTCTCCTGCTCTTTTCACTCCATCCTGCGCTCTTTAGCCCGGCTCGTTGAATGCCGGGGTGGTCTTGGCTCCGTCGGACTCTAAATTCACAGTCTTTACACACACCGAGAGCTTTTCTTTCTTTTTTTTTCATGAATTCCCTCAGAACAAAAGGGAGCTTCTCTCTTGAAACTCTCACTCGCCCCATGCATCTTAATAGATCTGTTTCTACACGTGGTCAGAGTTCAAGAGAAACTGAATGATCTCGAATTCAGCCCCGAGGTGATTAATATGTAACTTGATAAGCATATTCTAAAGCTCGCATTGGTTTTGCTCAGAAGGAGTAAACAGCGTGGTCAAATTTAGCTGCTCATCTATTAGCCCGCTCACACTGCCATTTGTTATCAGGATAATGGAGCGTAAAGAGGGCTATTATTCTCTCAGTCCACAGCATATGGTGAAATCCTGTACAGATACACACCCACTCAGGCTTCTCGTACACATAAGCAAACGTGGCTGAGAGGGTTGCTGATCGCTCTTTATTTTCTCCTACGGAAAAGGAGCAATCTTCTCCAGTATGTTTGGTGCCAGCAATGCACCAAATTATTCCTTCTTCTTCATTATTTAAGTCATTTTCTACAATCTGCTTATGTTCCTGTGTCGGAACATTTGTTTATTGGATTATATTGCCTCTTACCTTTTGGCAAAAATCAGTTATTTTGGTTGCATCTGAGGTCTTAGTTAGTCCATATGGAGGGAGAATTACAATATGGCGTCCTAATAAGCCTTAAAAATCAAATAAAATGAAAAATGAATTGATTCAATTGTGTTATTTTAGCATTCTTATAACTCATCCATCAGACACTACCGACAGAAGATGATTAACCTCCAATGGCCAATAGAAGACATTAGGGTTTTGAACGCGAAAACGCAAATCTAATTTTAATTCAGATGGAGATTTTAACAAAACAGGGAGCTCAAAAGAAATATTGCATGCTATATTATCATCCAAGCACTATTGTATTCATATTATTGCTAAGGTAGATACCCCAATAACATATGCAGTCTGTTAGACAGAGTCAGACTGGCGTTGAAGCCCACCTCACATAATCATAATAACAATTTCTAAATAGTGCGCCGCACTACTCTCAGCGCCTGATCTTTGCAAGGTTTTTGTGTCTTAAACAGTTGTAAACATCTTTGTATGTGCAAAGCGGATCTTCAGAGAAGGTGCAAAGTAATTTATGTTTTAAATTTATCAGATGGCATGTAAAAACTGTTCTTTTATGTGTGTGGTTGCCTTAATCAATATGCAGATCATATTCTAAGGACCAAACTGCACAAATTCATGCAAATGTTAATATTTACCATGTGCAAAGCGATTTCCTAAATCGGAAACTAAACTGCTGGTTTTTGCGTTTTTTTACGTATTTCTAGAAATGGGATATCAATTAACTCTCAAAAATGTCAGCTATTATTGTTGCTATAAAGGAGGCCTTGGTATAGAGCCTTTGTGTGCATGGAAACATATGTGGACCAACAGAAATAACAGTAAAATGATGATGATGGAAAAAGGTCCTTGCAGGCTGGAACGATTTATTACAGGACAATCTTTACACAATTAAATAAAATAAAAAAAATACATACATTCAATTTTGTCTCCACTATGCTAGAATTCAGGTCACTACACTCATAAGAAATGAGTGGACCTGCCCTTTGATGAAATCTGGGCTCCCTCCTAAAGGATTTCATTAAGCGCTTTTGAGCACAAATGCCGGTAATGTTGAAGCTTTTAAGAGTTACACTGAAATGAAGCCAATGCACTGATTTATAATGACACTGACACACTACGTTCAGGGCCCTCCTCGCACCTTTTGGTTCTGTTCTCTTCTTCTTTAGTCTTTGCTCTAGTTTTATTTTGTCGTTCATTGTTTACAGTTATCTTTAGGTTATGTTTTCCCATGGCATCATAGTTACCTTACCTCATCTAGAGTCCCTTTCCCTATTCTCTAGTTTCTTCTTAGTCATTCTGTATTTTCTAGTCATTATTTAGACTTTGAGACTTAGAGATTTATTTATCCCTTGGGATTACTCCCTCAGGGAAATTCTGGTTCCAGTAGCTTATATAGAGTATAAAGAGTTAAAGCAAGATGCCATTAGAGTTAAAATACGATAGACAATATAAAAAGAGTGTATTTAGTACAAAAAAGCATGAAAAAAGAAGAAAATGTTGTCATCTTTAATTCCCTTTTAGCTTCATTTAAGTTTTTTGTTAGTTATATTTAAGTTTCTTAGACTTAGACTT